TTTTCTGATCCTCTCTTGTTTCCTTGTATCATTTTCATGACCAACAATGTGCATGCTTCCAAAGTCTACCCTGTAATCCATTATTTTTAGAGGTAATTTTCAGTGAGACGCGTCAGTCCAGTTGAAAATGTTATATTTATACCAAAAAATATAATACTAATCAGGAATCAATCATTATACTGTGGATCTTCTCCCAAAAAGTTGAATTCCCAACCCTAACGGCCCCCACACTCAATTATACTAATTCCCAACCCTAACGGCCCCCACACTCAATTATACTGTGGATCTTGATTCTATACGACGTCGTTCTGAATTTTAATTTTAACGTCGATCGTTTGTTGTTCAGTTCGCATTATAGAAGTGTTTTTTTTAAAGCATATGTATGTATATCGTGTTATGCGTTTCTGTCCATCATGTTATGCAATTATGTACATTAAGTGTATAACACAAAACATATTGTGTGTCTTATTTTACGAATTTATGTCTTGTATTATGAAATTATGTGTCTATAGGACATAAATTATTTACATAAATCAGATTTTAGAATAAGTAAAATAGAAAACATGTGTATGTATATTTCGTGTTATGCGTTTCTGTACATCATGTTATGCAATCCTGTACATTAAGCGTAAGGATTTTGTACCTAAAATAAATTAAAATTTGTGTTGAAACATGAGAAACGGAAAGTTACGAAATCTGTTAAAGCTTAAACATTAAATAACGCCGTTTTGATCCAGGGTCCACAATGCTATACTATGTGGACTCTGGTCCACGATATAAATTGCCATCAGGAATAGAGTGTTTGTTACTTATAAGAGAAAATGTAATACTTTTGAGAAAGTGCATGTATTACATTTTTCTTCAATTACACTTCCCGTTATAAGTAAGAAACACTTTATTCTAGGTTAATATTATATTTTTCAGTATAAGTATTACATTTTCATCTTAACCCGATACGTCACACAAACAAGAATTTGTGAGACGGTCTTACACAAGTTTTTGCCTTATTTTTATTATTATTCCCTAATTTATTATCATTATCTTGTCCAATTTGGGTCTTCAAATTTTTTTTTTGTTTGTTTTTTTTTTTTTTTTTTTTTTTTTTTTTTTTTTTTAATGTTACATTTTATTTAAACAACCATCATTTTTACCCATCACTAATTGTTCAATCAGCATATTGTCATTGTAGTCACCAATTATGAAATAATAATTTTAATCCTTAATTTTTCAAGGTGAAAGGATGAACTTGTGAGTTGTAACACAATTTCAAAATTATTTATACCATACTAAACAATTAACACTAAGATCATTATTCCGTCAATTAACAATTCACTTTTTCCTATGAGAAAATGCCTTTTTCGAGCAGTTCTGGTTGCAATGCAATATCATCTCCAACTTTATGAGTTGGCATATGCATGACAGGATACACAATATTTTTTTTGTCCCCACCAACTTATAATTTGCAACATTAAGTACATTTTATTTTTAAATATGTGAAATTAGATGTTGTGCAATATGCTGTAATTTTCATGTTGAGTTTTTTTTTTCTTTTTATATATAATCACAATTTCTTTTCAATTTTTTTCTACTTTTTAATTTTATTGTTTTTGAAAGATGCATTAAAGACTTTTAGTTTCGATGGGGATACACTCTCTAAGTTTTTGAGTGATGATCACTTCACTTTGGGTGACTCATGTCATGAATGAAGTTTCAAGCTTTTATCATTAGTGCTATGCCGCTTTATATATCAAAATGTTAATTTTATAATTATTTCACACGTGATATATGATATGATTGTTCTAAATATTATTTGCTTGAGAAATCAAAAGTAGTGAATCATATTTCTAGTATTTGTTATGCTTGTTATGTTGTGATGCCTTTCTTTAAAATTTGTTTTAAAGACCTAGATTATTACTTCGTATAAATTATGACAGAAGTTAGTGAGTCATCTTCGATAGAACATAATGTGACAGATGTTTATTTTTTGTTGGACATCATATTATTCATATGTCAATTAGTTGGTTCCTTCTACAATTGAGAATTTTATGAACCATGTGTGAATGGAAATTCTCAAATTGCCTATTTTTCGTTTTTTGGGGACATTTAGTCTTACACACAGATATTGATGTTTTTTTTTTTTATTATCTAAATTCGACCTACTGCATATCTTGATTATTTCACCTTACACATAGTATGTGTAGACTAAGCATTTTTCATCTGTGTTTTATTATCAATGTGAAATCTATATTCCTATATCAGCATTGTAGAATATCTCTAGGGGCTATCAAAGAAAACTAGGTATATATGTTGGTTATAAGCCCCCGTCTATTGTTAAATACCTAAAACTTATAATAGAGGATCAATATATAATTAGGTACGTTGACTGTATACTTTATGAAGATTATTTCATGGCATTAGGGGGAGATAAGATGTCAAATTTAATAGAATGTCAAGAATTTTTATGGATTGAAAAAAATATTTAGCATTTAAATTCATGTACTAGTTATACTAAATTAAAAGGTCATAAGATAGTCATACATATTTACAAAATTATCACTCCAGTTTTCATTTAAATATAGATCTCATCCGTCCAATATTTTAGTATATAAATGTAATTTATTCTTTTTTTTTTTGAATGCTACTACCTACGCCTCCATTGAGGCTTGAACTCACAACCTCCCATATGGGAGTCCAACTCAGATGCCATTAGACCACAAGGTCTTGGCAAATGTAATTTATTCTTATTTTTCACATTAGACACTATTTTTACAAGATCTCATCTTATAGTTATGAACAAGTTCAAGTGATCTTAGAACAATATTTCCTTTAGAAAAATGGAATAATGTGATATGTCTATCTAAGATAATTAATAAATGACTTGAAAATGAGGGGATAATAAGGATCTTCCTTGTTAACCATGTCATTTAGTCAATTGTTACGTCTTCTAACCACGTAAGTATACGGCAAATTATGCACCATATGCATACGGATGCAAAAACGATGTCGTTTTGTATCAAAATGCGCGTTCTACTTTTAAAAAAAAAATCAATTTCGATTCCGAACAACAACATTATGTTGTTCATATTTTAGTTCATTCATTCTGAATTTTTAGTTATGAAATTATGGATGTGTAGGTATGCAATTCTGGATTTATAGGTATGAAATTATGGATGTGTAATTATGCATGGTGTAGTTATGCAATTTTGGATTTTATAGTTATGAAGTTATGGATGTATAGTTATGAAGTTATAGATGTGTGTTATGCAATTCTGGATTTATAGTTATGAAATTATGGATGTGTAGTTATGTAATTCTGTATGTATAGTTATAATTATGGATGTGTAGTTATGCAATTCTGATTTTTTTCTTTTTAAAGTTAAACGTCAAAACGACGTCGTTTTGCATCTGTATGCACCATGCATTGTGCATACGGATGCACAGCATAACGATTGGTAAGTATACCTAACAATTTAACAAACAATATTAACAATTTTAATTACCTAGCTAATTGTTCAATTGTTAATAATAATGGACTAAATTGGCCCAATTTTATAGTATAAAAACTAAATTGAAAATTTCACATGAGTATAGAGACTAATAATGACATTAAATTTTAAAAAATGAAAATAAAAAATATAGCTTATGATTGGATGGATGAACTTAGATACAAATATACAATTATGCTGTCTTGGTGTACTTAGAAATGAGTTGTATACAAGTATATTTATTTATTTTTTGACACATTAGGTTATTCTAAGCTCCCAGATGGATCCCACACTTTAATAATAATAATAATAATAATAATAATAATAATAATCCATGACATAGAATAGTTGGTTCGTCGTCCTACTTAAAGGTCATAATTGGAGGCGGTTTGAATTAGATTCTTTGTGCGCACATGAAGACTATGATTTGATCGGTGGACTAATTGCACGACTCGTGATTTACCTCCACAATAACTCTAAAGACGGGGTCCTGTGGACTTAGGATTAGCCCGGCAAAATGATCACCTAAGTTCTTTGACGAGAAAATATCATTTTTAGTCACTTGACTATAATACATGTATCAATTTTAGTCTTTGACTATTAAAATTTTCAAATTAGGTGCATAGCTATTCAATTTGTATTACATTTGGTCCATGACTATTAACATTTTCAAATTAGGTGCATGAATACTCAACGTGTATCACATTTGGTCCTGTCATTAAATTTTCTGACCAAATTTCCGACCAAGTCATCGGTGTCTGACTAATTTATTTACTTTTTATAATTTTTAAATTAAAAAACTTAAAAATAAAAACAAAACAAAACAAAATAAAATAAAATAAATGACGGCCACCCCCACCCTCCTCCTTCGTCTCCGGCAAGAAGTGGATGGGGTTCTCCGACAGAGACAAAGGAAGAAGGGGGAGAAAGATAATACCGGCCATCCCACCCCCTTCTTCCTTCATCCCCAACAGAGATGAATGAGGAGGGGTAGGGTGGCCATCGTTTTTTTTTTTTTTTAAAGATTTTTAATTTAAAAATTAAATAAATAAGTTTGTCACTAATGAATTGCCTAAAAAATTGAGCGAAAAATTTAACGGTAAGACTAAATGTGATATAAATTGAATAGTTATACACCTAATTTAAAAATATTAATAGTCAATAAGTGAAAGTGATACAAAATTTAAAAATTTTACGAAGTAATAGTTGACGGAAAAATTTCTCTCACTTCAAATTTGTCAAAGTTGGTGTTGCAGTTGAAGCCGTTGGGACAACTGTAAAGCGATTGAGATATAAGCCCCAAGCCTAGAAAGTGTCAAACCAGAAAGGAATACTTAGTATACCGCTGTCCTTCCTCGAAATACCTTTCTTTCATCCTCACAAATCCCCCAAATTCTCAAAACTCGTCTTAGGGTTTGATAATTTCACAGGATTTTTACGGTTTCTCAGTACAATAATTTTGGGGATCGACAGCAAAGGGGGGCGAGCTCCGCTTCAAGCTCGCCAAAATCCGCCATGATTTCGTCATCGAAACCTCCGTTATCTCTCCTCGTCTTCGCCCTTCTCATCGCCGTTTTCTGTTTGTCCACATCCGTGTTGGCAGAGTCGAGCAACAACCCGCTCCGATTGCCGTCGGATCAGGACGACGGTGACGTCTGCGCCATGCTGGATCCCCCGGCTTCCTGCCCAATCAAGTGTTTCCGGCCCGACCCGGTTTGCGGCGTCGATGGCGTGACCTACTGGTGCGGTTGTGCCGATGCGCATTGCAACGGCGTGAAGGTGGACAAGTTAGGGTTTTGCGATGTGGGGAATGGTGGATCGGGTCCGGTGTCGGGTCAAGCTCTGTTGCTGGTTCACATTATTTGGCTCATTTTACTTGGGATTTTCGTGCTATTTGGGTACCTTTGATTCTTTCTTTGGCTTCTCGGATTTATTGATTTTCCACAAACACATGAGAGGTTAGACTTACAGCTTTAATTCATATATGTATATGTCTCTTCTATTCATTGTAATTTACACCTTCAGACTCTGATGCTTTTATCTTAATTGTTGAATGACCTTCTACATTCAAGAAGATCATTATACATAATTCAAAATTTCTACTGTAATTAGAGGCTCTTTCTTTTAATGTGTTGCATTGTGATTTGTAAAACCAAAATCTATCTTTATGCAGAAAGATATTTCATTCTATCATCAGGATTTCCATTCAATTCTATCTGGGCTACAAACCCAAACCTACAATAATAAATAAATATTAACAAAGTAAAAGACAAAATGTTTTATCTTCCTTGGGAGAGTTTGTGTAACTAATAGCAGTAATGGAGTTCTTGCCATCAGGCACTCCTAAAGGTCAGTTTTATGTATGCTTTCACCTAGGAATTGAACATTTTCTGGTTTGAAAAGGGCTTGAGTGGGTTGGGTGTGCAACTGCACCCAATGCACCACTCCTCAGATCTTGGCCGTCGAATCTCACATCTCAACGCTGCATAGGAGTTCACAGGTTCACACCCAAGCAATGGTTCTCACCTGAATCTGACCTATATATATATATATATATATATATATATATATATATATATATATATATATTTGAATCTTCTCAAGAGTTTGTTGAGATCTTCATAAGGGGTTTTAGATTAGAATGGAATTCTGGTTGTCTACCAAAGTGGAAAATTGCAGTATTTTCTGTTTTCAAGTGTGCCTACAGTTAATCATTTTGCTAATTACTACATAGCTGCTGCTTGGGGTTGCATGAACTCTATATTCCATTTTATGGACTACTATGTTCTTCCATTGCAACCTATTGCCCTTCTGGACCAAGATATGTAGTGTTCCGAAATCATTTGTTGATGTTGATGGATAATATGATTGTGATGGCTTTCTTGTGGATCTCTTCCATGCTGGAACATGGGCAACAGAATTGAATACTGGAACTTTGTGTTAGCTATTCTGTGGACATCAGTATTTTCATTTTAGTCTTCAGTGATTAAGGCAGCACATATATTCTTCTTTAAATTGCATATGGATAACAAGTTAAATAACTTGTGTAATGTAGCAAGGTGTTTATCTTACTCTTACACAAGGTCCACCAAAGTTCTCAAACCCCAATCGTGACAAAGCAATTTGCAACCAAGAAATCAACGACTCTATTTTGTTCCTTAAAGACGTACATTATCCGAACACCCTAATCCTGAACCATTAGCCGCTTACACAAGGTGGGCGCCACGAGCATTTTGTTCATTAACTAACCACTTGGCCAATTCACTAGAGTCACATCCAACAATGGCATTATGCAAACCCAAATCCCAAGAGGTGAAGAGGTACATATCCTTCAAGAATCAAGGCTACCCAAAGCTCTGTGTCTTCAGTGCTGCAGGCCCCAATATTTAACCTTGTACATTTTTGTGACTTCCAAAGCAATGATTGAACCATTTTTCTACTCGTCTGCAGTATTTAATGTTGGCTTGCCTTTCTCCTGTATATACAATATTAGATATGTGCTGTGTACAAAAAGAAGCACCAATAGTTCACATGCACCAATAGATGAGGTAGAGAAAGTTACAATTGCTTAATATTTTAATGTGATGTAGCTTTATGAATGCTGTCCTAGAGAATACAATTGGTCATATCAGCAAATATCCTTCTTAATTGCCCCTGCAGAGGTAACAAGAAATAAATCAGAAAGCAAGAAGACTTTTGTAAAAGTTAAATGGAGAATTCACTTCCAATTGTGTAAAAGCTTTATTATCACAAAGATATCCAAGAACCGACTTAAACTCACTTCTACAAGCAATTTATAGCAGACTATAAACTAAGCTTGTTAGAGAAGAGAACAAGACACAAAACAGTTCCTTTTCCCCCATCATGGTCAGTGTAGTTAATGTGGGGGATTATTTCACACTTCTATGTTCATTCTTAGTTTATTACTCCATAATATTTTTCAAAGTGCATACTAAAATCATGATCCCTCTCATACAAGGTTTTAAAAGGCGAAGGCGTGTCTTGAAGCGTTTTGTAATGTCGAGGCAAGGCGTAAGCCTCAATTTTTAGTCTCAGAATATATTACTAAACTGTAAATATTATTAATAAAATTCTCCAAAATATAAGATTAAAGAAACACACCACGAAACATCAAATATAATACAAGTCTAAAGCAAACAAACACATAACAATCCAAGATTAAAGTAATAAACAAACACTTCTATGTTCATTCTTAGTTTATTACTCCATAATATTTTTCAAAGTGCATACTAAAATCATGATCCCTCTCATACAAGGTTTTAAAAGGCGAAGGCGTGTCTTGAAGCGTTTTGTAATGTCGAGGCAAGGCGTAAGCCTCAATTTTTAGTCTCAGAATATATTACTAAACTGTAAATATTATTAATAAAATTTTCCAAAATATAAGATTAAAGAAACACACCACGAAACATCAAATATAATACAAGTCTAAAGCAAACAAACACATAACAATCCAAGATTAAAGTAATAAACAAACAAACACATCATAAATCACAATGAAACTTCATCTAAAGAATCATTGTAGTCTATAGCCTCATCATCCTCATTTCCACTATCTTCCCATTCTTCATCTTCATTAATTAGTCTCCATTTTCATTTTCCCCTACTTGACCCTTTTGCACTAGTCTTCTTGGAGTTTTTGCTTGAGCATTCAATTGGCTAAGATTGAGGTGCTTGTGATGGCTCCCCCTCAAAAACATCAAGGTAATCCACACTTATATTGGGAGCATCTTCATCATTTTCACCACAAGTCATTCATCATCTGATGGCAACTCATCAATGAACAAGCTCTTTTCATCATTTCCTAAGAAGACTTCAACTGCCTATCATTCAACTCTTTGTTGTACAAAATATAAACCAAAGCATTCATTCTCATAGTGGTCAAGCGGTTTCTTCTTTTGGTGTGTACTTGATTGAATGTACTCCAATTGCGCTCGCATCCAAATGAAGAACAAGTGAGGCCTAGCATTTTAACTGCAAACTTTTGAAACTCGGGAGTGCTATCTCCATATTGATCCACCATTCAACTAAAAATAATAATAACATTAAGTATTTGAATCTACTATAATTAAGCAACACTCATATTTAACTATTTAAGTAAGAATTCAAACTTTAATTTACCAGGAGTATATTTGTAGATTGTGTTTTTAACTTGAACCAACCCAAAATATCCCTTTCGGCTGTGGAAAGCACAACATTGTATATCAGCTTTCTCTATTTCATCTCTATTGGGTATGAGCTTGTCTAAACAATTGAATAACCCAAGCTTGATTTCTGGATGGGTAGAAAAATCAGGAGAACAATGACAACAGGGATTTAGATAGTAGGGAGCTGCATGCAAATGTCGGTGCATCTGAAAATCTCATTTTTCGTCAATAATATCTCATATTTCCTTGTAATCTTTTTCTTTTCCACCCAAGTTCTTTGCTATCTTTTCTTTGGCTTTATCCATAGCATTATAAAGAAAACCCATAACAGACTCTTTTTCTCCCTCAACACTTCAACCAAAGGTTTTGTAGTCTTGATAGCATAAATCAAACTTGGTCAAAAGTTGTTATCCTTCATAATTATTTTTCTAACTTCTCTCACATTAGCTTTGCTTGCATAATTACTCTTTGTCCACTTTTTAGAAGTGAACATAGCTTCCAATGGTTGCCTCACATGATAAATGCTTTGCAACATCAAATATGCAATGACAAATCTAGTGGCAGCTGGCCTAATAAACATTGATTCGCATGAGAGTTTGAGTAATAAAACTTCAAATACTATTGATGTTGATGAGTTGCAACAGTTTGGACATTTGAAGCCACGTCCAATTGGCCCTATGGATAAGTTTGCAAACCAAATCAATCCTGAAAGTTCTTTGAGTTCAGGAAAGGGTAAGGCGCAACAGCGGATAATTGAGGCATTTGACAAGGAGAGGGTTAACCGAGTGAAAGAGTACATATGCATATGGGCTTATGAATCAGCTATTCCATTTCATGTTATTGAGAAAGATAGCTTCAAGTTGATGATTGAAGCTATTGGTCAATTCGGTCCGGGAGCGCATGCACCAAATAGATATGAATTGAGTGAAACATATTTGAAAAAAAAAAAAGGTTGATCGAGTCCAAGACAGTTTGAAGGTACATGAAGTGGAGTGGAAACTAAATGGCTGCTCAATTATGACCGATAGGAAGAGAAGAAGCATCATGAACTTGTGTGTCAATTCAAGTTTGGGCACTGTTTTTTTATCTTCTAAAGAATGTTCAAGTGAGGCACACACAAGTCAATTTATATTTGAATATGTGGAGCAGGGCATTCAACAAGTTAGAGAGGAGAATGTTGTTCAAATTGTCACAGATAATGCCGCGAACAACATGGGAGCTGCTAAATTGTTGAAGGAGAAGAGGCCACAGATATTTTGGACTTGTTGTGCAACTCATTCCATTAATTTAAAGCTTGAAAGCATTTCAGGTATCTTTCAATCTTTATTCTTTAATCTATAACTTTAAATCTTTAAATTGTTCATACTTGAATGCCTTGCAGGTTTACCACGGTTTAAAAAAGTTCTTGATCAAGCAATGAGTTGCAAAACAAGTCCAAAATATCTGTGGCCTCTTCTCCTTCAACAATTTAGCAACTCCCATGTTGTTCGCGGCATTATCTGGACAATTTGAACAACATTTTCCTCTCTAACTTGTTGAATGCCCTGCTCCACATATTCAAATATAAACTGAATTGTGTCTGCCTTACTTAAACATTCTTTAGAAGATAAAAAAAAACAGTGCCCAAACTTGAATTGACACACAAGTTCATGATGCTTCTTCTCTTCCTATCTGTCCATGCATCGGTCGTAATTGAGCCGCCTCCACTTCGCTTCATGCACCTTCAAACTGTCTCGGACTCGATCAACCTCTTTTTTCAAATATGTTTCACTCAATTCATATCTATTTGGTGCATGCGCTCCCGGACCGAATTGACCAACAACTTCAATCATCAACTTGAAGCTATCTTTCTCAATAACATGAAATGGAATAGTTGATTCATAAGCCCATCAGCATATGTACTCTTTCACTCGGTTAACCCTCTCCTTGTCAAATGCCTCAATTATCCGCTGTTGCGCCTTGCCCTTTCCTGAACTCAAAGAACTTTTAGGATTGATTTGGTTTGCAAACTTATCCATAGGGCCAATTGGACGAGGTGGCTTCAAATGTCCAAACTGTTGCAAGTCTTGCAACTCATCAACATCAATAGTATTTGAAGTTGTATTACTCAAACTCTCATGCGAATCAATGTTTACCTCCGCTCTTATATTAACTTTTTTCAGCTCTCTTGTTCTTCTTTTTGTTCTTTGCCATCATGAGAGCATCTCTACATTTTAATTGATCTTCCTTTGAAGCTATGAGGCATTTGCTAACATTCCCTTGAATGCCAGCAATATGTTCTTTGATCCGATAAAATCCACCAGACATTACTTTCTTGCACAATAAACATTTAATCTTGTCCATTGACTTAGTAGGATCATTAATTACCCCATAGTCCCAACTTATATCATTGGACTTTCTTTTTATTGTAGTTGTAGATGGTTGAGAAGATCCAACACCGACTTTGAGTTTGAATTGGTGTTTGAGAAAAATATTATTATCATCACTTGCCATACCTAATTATTATTAACACTTAATAAGTTAAGGGAAAATTGCATCTTTAGTCCCTGAGTTATAACCAAGTTCCGACTCAGTCCCTAAGTTATGGCAGTATCCGAGTTTAGTCCCTCAGTTATGAGCAAAGTGGCAAGTTTGGTCCCTAGCGTTAATATTTTGTCTGCAGCTAACGGAAAACTTAAAAATAATTTAATAATAAAGGGTTAAAATAGGAATTTCACATTATAATCCCCTTCTTATGTTGAAACCCATTGCACAACTGTCATTATTTTCTTCTTATATCTAACGGAAGTGGGAGATTTCAGAGCTTGGGGAAGAAAAAGACCTTCAATTGTAGATATAAGAAGAAAAGAATGACTTTTGCGCAACGAGTTTCAACATAAAAAGATGATTATAATTTGAAATTCATATTTTACCCCTCTATTATTAAATTGTTTTTAAGTTTTCCGTTAGCTGTAGACAGAATATTAACGCTAGGGACCAAACTCGCCACTTTGCTCATAACTGAGGGACTAAACTCGAAAACGGCCATAACTTAGGGACTGAGTCGAAACTTGGTTATAACTCAGGAACTTGGTTATAACTCACGGACTGAAGATGCAATTTTCCCATAAGTTAATACTTAATAATTAATATAAATTTTCAAATTCCCATACGGCCATACCTAATTATTAATGCATAATCACATTTTAGTATTTTACAATATAATGAATAATGATATAAGAAATTACGTATTCACAAATTCACATTTCATATAGACATATCCACATATATCAAAAACAGAATAAAAAAAATTAAAAAACAGAATATTTAATATTGAACCAAAATCAGAAAATACTAAATAGAACAGAAATTAAGATTTAAGAAAAAAATATCAAAACAAAGAAAAATACTAAAATAGAATATGAGAAATTGAAAGTCAGAAATTGAAAAGTGAAAAATGAAAACAGAAAACTACATACCTGTGAGTCTATGACTCTGTGAGCGTTGGCTAGCGGAGGCCGGATGTGGAGGGACTGGGCGGCGTCGCGGCGGAGGGACCGGGCGGCAGAGGTGCGAGCGTTGGCTGGCGGAGGCGGAGGGTGAGGCTGTGAGGGTGTGTGACTCGACTAGGAAGGGTTTCGACTGGTTTGGCTTCAGGGTCAGAAATCGCGATTTAATTTTTTTTTTTTTTTGGGATATTCGACGTCATTTTGGCGAATAACCCAAAAAAAAAAAAAAAAAACAGGTTTGGGACGGTTCGGCCGGGGCGCCTAGACCGCCTGGCCGCGATTTTTGCAACACTGTATTTTCTCAAATATATTCTTAGTTTAAAACTTGTTTGATTTAAATTTAAAAATAAAAAGAAAAATAAAAAAATCACCATGTCGATAGGGTGCATGACCAATTACCTTAACATGCAGCATCTTGAATGTGGAAGTAGCATGGTAGCCAATAATTGTCATCACTATGGAAACACAGTGGTTACTGATTACCATGCACATCGTGTTTCTTCTCTTATAAAATTTTACCAAAATGAAGTACCCCATTGAGAAGGTCATTTGCTTTCCACATTTTGTAAAACAATTTCAATATTTCATTGCTCACAATCTATAAACTAAAACTTCCTAGCAATGACTTGAATAGAATACTGTACCAAGTCCATTCTAGAAATAGCAACAGAGGTTATAGGGCCAATCCATGTCTATACCTATACCCAACTGCGACCAGGTATCTTCCGAATACCCCTCTCACACATTTTATCCCTCAAATATGAAACATCTAACCACCTATCTGATGCAGCATAGATGTCTGACAAGAGCACATAATTTCCCGCATTGAGAGGCTCAAGTTCAAAAAGCTTGCGCGCTATCTCCTCACCTAATTCAATATCAGAATGTAGCTTACAAGCCCCAAGAAGTGCACCCCAAGCTCCAGCATAGGTCTCTATGGGCATTGCTCTAATTAGGTTATAAGCAGCTTTGAGCTTTCCTGACCGTCCAAGAAGGTCAACCATGCATGCATAATGGTCAGGAGAAGGCTTTAGAGAGTATTCCTTTATCATAGAGTCAAAAAAACGAAAACCCTCTTCAACAAGTCCTCCACGGCTACATGCTGTCAAAATCACAGTGAAGGCTACACCATCAGGAACTAACCCTTCACCTAGCATCCTATCGAACAGCCCAACAGCCTCTTCACCACGGCCATGAACAGAAAGTGCTTGCATCAATGAACAATACAAAATTACATCACGCTTAGGTATCTCCTCAAACAAAGTCATTGCTCTGTCCATATTTCCACATTTTGCATTCATATCTACAAGAGCAGCAGCAACATGAGGTTGGTGGAGATCAAATGAGCTTTGCTTAATGTAAGAATCCACCCGTCTGGCCAGATCCAAACATCCTATTTGGGAGCAAGCAGACATCAAACTGACCATAACAAATTTATCTGGTCTACAATGTAAAGACATCATTTCAAAGAACAATTTCACAGCCTCATCAGGTTGTCCATTCTGAGCATACCCCGATATCATAGCAGACCAGGAAACTATATCCCTTTCGGAAGACTGATCAAACAAAAACCTTGCAGACACCATGTCACCAACCTTTGCAAATCCATCAATCATAGTCGTAAAAGAAACCACATTCCTTTCTGGCATTCCATCAAACAGTCTCTTGGCAGTATTCAGATCCCCAAACTTCACAAATGCACTAATCATCACATTCCATGACACTAGATTTTTCTTGGGCATTTCATTAAACAGTTTCTGAGCTTCCAAAAAGTCACCAATATTCACATACCCAACAATAATAGCAGTCCAAGACACTTCATTTTTCACAGGCATTTCATCAAACAACTTACGCGCACACTCAATTTCTTTACACTTGCCGTAAAAATCAATCAATGTCGAACCAACAAACACATTATTATCGGTCCCATACCTGACTACCAACCCATGAACAGCCTGCCCATCTCTCAAAGCCAGCACATTTGAACACGCCTTGATAAGCGAAGTGAATGTATATCCATCCGGAATCACGTCTAAACATTTTTTCATTTGGTTGAAAAGTGACAAGGACTGGGCAAGAGATGAATGTTCAGAGTACCCTTTGATGAGCGAGTTCCAGAGGTAGATGTTGGGGTGAAGAACGCGCTCAAAGACTCTGGTGGCATAGGCGACGCTGGAGGAGAAGGAGTTGCAGTGAGAGATGAACTGAGTTATGATGATGTGGTCTTGTTCTAAGCCTTTGCAGATTATATGGGTGTGGACTTGTTTGAGGTTGTGGATGTTTGTGCAGGCCCTAAGCAGATTGAGAATCTGTGAAGAGGCGGCGCAAATGGCAGGGACGGACATCGACGACAGCGGCTGTGGGACGAAATATTAGTCAAATGCCGCAGAATAAAATCAGAAAACTTTTCCCATCTATATCACTATATCAATTTCCATTCCATTCCATTCCAAGAAGCAATAAATCAGACGTTGTGGTTGTCAAAGTGATTATACACAAGAGAAAGATTATAGGGCTATACTTTGCCACTTCCTAAATCTTACTCTTTGTGATTTGTGAGGTGATCTCCCATTCAAAACATCAAATTTTGCACCAAATTTTACATTAAAAAAAAAAAAAATATATATATATATATATATATATATATATATATATATATATATATATATTCTTAACATATTCTTACATGGTTATACCAAAATTTTTCATCTCCAACTTATTTACATCAAATTTACACCAAATTTTATTTTATCTCTAACCCATTTACACCAAATTCTATTCATACACTAAAATCATTTGTATTAATTTAAATTTTAAATTTTGTTACTTTAATTATTTTAATATAAAATATAATTTTAAAATAAATAATAATATTTTAAAATAATTTATTTTTTATGTATTTTAATTTTTAATTATTTTATAGTCGATATTGATATCGTTTTAAACGTTTCAATGCGATTTTTAAATCTTTATAATTTATTTCTAATAATATAAAATTTTAAAAGGAAACAATTGGTAAAAAGATTTTTAAAAATTCTACACCAAAATGGTGTAAATGAATAGTGTTACACCATATTTTGTATAATACTATCCATTTACATCATTTTGATGTGGTGGATTTGGTGTCTTCCTTGGACGAAGGTTGTGTAACATTTTTCATTATGTCATCATTAAGTGGTGCAAGTTAATAGGCTCATTCATGACCATAATGTTGTGGTTTGAAACGGAAGTAACGGTTTCCGTTACTTAGCCTACAATGATGGCATGTAGGCTATATATAAGCATGGTCCTCCCACTGCTCATGTACATCATCACAACTACACCACTAGTTTCTCAGGAGATCAAGTGGTAGACAAAACTCATTTTCTTACCATTCTTCAAGCAATACAACGAAGGTATCAACTATGGTTGGAGGTATGCTTGATCCTATGCTTCCACTATTGAGGTTAGATTATTACAAATACTATGATTGTATAATTAATCTAACATTTAGTATCAGAGCCTTGTTTATCTCTGCCTAGTTGTTTAATTTGCATTGATATATGTTTTCGAATAATAGTATAATATCAAGTATATGTTTTTACTATTCTTTCTTCGAAAATATATATAGCAATTTAAGTGTGTACTTGTTGACATTTCTCATTTTGAGAAGCAATTATTCTATATGTAACATTTGGCCCGTTGGAGTGTAATTAGGCGATTACATTTGACAGGCATATCGCCATAGGTATGTTCCGGTTATGTAATATATCAAGTGTTCAGAATGCCTTGTGTTAAATTACTGTATATATATTCTGTATGCGTGTTATATACCTTTAGGAAGTCTATAAGTGCAAAAATATATACCTGCTTTGTGTCTATACTGTTGCTGATTTCTATATGAAATGAGTATATGCATTTTGATGTTCGAATAAAGAAAAGTCAACATTAATCTCATATTCATGAAGCTTTTGTATATATTTTGCATATTAATTCTACACATACAAGATAGAGTCATAACCCCGAATAAGTCAAATAAATATGGTGGATTTCAAAATGTCGCTGCATGGAGTGTGGATACCAAGCAAGGAAAACCGTCTTTGGGGAGTGCATTTCTCTCCCACAGAGACTCGGTATCCGTGTTCGCGATTTAAGCTCTCCGTATGTACACTGTATTTTGTATTTCATTTAATATATGTAGTCTATGTAGTCTTCGTATTCCAATGTTGTATTCCAATTTAATATGATTGTAAACGCAAAAAACTTGAATTGTATATATTCAAAATTCAAAGTATCGGTTACAAGTAGTATGTATCAATCAAGAAGGGGTACAATCTCTGCATATGAGAAGTCCTCTGATTCTCTACTAGAAGTATGCCTGTTGGAAGTGTGCCAAATTCGGAGTATGCCGAATTGGAAGTGTGCTGAGTTCGGGGAGTGTGCCGAACTTGAAGTAGTTCCTTGCCGGAAGTATGCCGAGTTCGGGAGTGTGCCGAACTGGAAGTATGCCGAGTTCAAAGTATGTTGAACTGGAAGTATGCCGAGTCCGGGAGTATGCCGAACTGGAAGTAGTTCCTTGCTGAAGGGCCTCCGGAGTTATGTAGCTTGTTCTTCAATGAAGGGCTAATATGCAGCTTGATCTTCAAAGAAGGGCTTCCGGTGTTCAAGTGGCGTGTTCCTCAGCGCGGTATACGCAGTTGTAGCGTGGTATACGCAGTACAACTGCGGGCGTGTTCCAGACGATATCCTGGAGAGATTTCGGCACATGCAGATTTCTAGAGCTTATCCTTTGAAAATGAAACCATTATTTATAGTGGTGAGGGTGAGGGAAAATCTCCAACCAACTCTTAATTCCTTATTTAATTTAATTTCTTTAATTAAATTAAGGAATGTATCGGGACACCATTGCGCCCAGGTTCATGATTTCATTAAATTTTCAAATAATATCAAATATTCAAATTTTCTCAAAATTATATAATCCACATATAATTTTAGTGGGCCAAGACCAAGTCAAGCCCGCTAATTAGGCAACCCAATTCATCCAAGCAGCCTGGTCCAACTCGATTAAATATTTCGTCATCTCGGGCCGAACAATCCAACATCTAATTACATTTAATTAAGTAATTAAACTAATTAATTATTCAATGGGCCATTTAATTAACCCAACTAAATAAATATTAGTCCAATTAGCCTAATTAAAGTAATTAATTTAATGATCAATTATCCATCACGGTCCAACAATATTATTGAAATTTTTCAATGCTTACAATGATATATTATTCCAATTTATCCATGTAAGACTTTTAGGACTTTATTTTTAGCAATGTTGTATTCCAATTCAATATGATATATTATTCCAATTTATCTGTGTCAGACTTTTAGGACTTTGTTTTTAGCAAAGTGCTATACGGACTATAGTCCGTGAGTTTGACGGCACAGACTACTAAGTCCGTTTGTCATTTTGTGTGGCTGTAGCAATCAGATGAATTCATCTGATTGCTACAGTCATACGAAATAAAAAAATTTGTTATATATGTAAATTTAAAATCTTTTATGACATTATTTAATTAAAAGTGTTATTTTGATGTACTTGTAAGTAAAAAAAAAAAAAAAAAGAATTTACTAGAGTGCTGAACTAAAACATTGGATTTTATTAATGATTTAAATTTGGACATTGCATAGAAGAGTGTGTTGTCTTTCGACAATACTTACATTTTGTTCTGCGATTGCTACTAAAGTCCATTTCATTGGGAAATCTTGTTGTTCGTCGTTGGCCTTTTTGTGTCCGTCGCTTAGCGTTAATAGGTGGAAGGTAAGTGATATGATTTGTCCACTGAGTATGTTCGGCCAATGGATAGAAATTACCTGCGTAAACATTCCTGTAGTTTTGGACGGAGTATACTTGTGGCACGAATTGGTAAAATGCCTCCCTTCGGAAATTACAAGCTGCTATCACATGTGCACACGCACGGTATTCCGTCCACATTCCAGTTGCCGCAGTTGCATGTACGTTCAACCAAGTTGACGTGAAAATAATGGTGTAGACCGTGAGCCATGTATCCAGAAATTATAGCAACGCCATAAATGCCAAGAGTGTCATTATATCTTTCAATGCTTGCATTGTTTGACTCATTTTCTCTAGCAACCAAATCTTCTTGAATCTTTGGCGTGAAAAGCATTTGCTGTTGATGCATCATCTCCCCCGCAGTACGCCTGTCGGCAAACATTGTTCGTAACTTGTGAAAAGTTATTCGTGCGATTGCCGTGACAGGCAACATTCGACAACTCTTAATCGAGTTATTAAATGACTCAGATAGATTGGTTGTCATAATGCCGTACCGATGACCCCCATCGTGACATAATGTCCATGCCTCTTCATTGAGTGCTGCCAGATAGTTGTATACATTGGGCCAGTGTTGTTGGATGGTCTGCATGTTTTGATTGAATTGATTTGTTGTAACAGCAGTACCGGCTTCCCATATCAATCTACGTAACCATCGATTTCTGCTGACCTTTGTTAGTACATTGCTCCGAAGGTGTCGAAGGCAATACCTACGTTTTACTCGGCCATGCAATTCTTTGACGTCCTTAAACGCCGCATCAATTCCAGCATGTCTATCCAAAACGATGCACATTGAATCCTAATCGGGAAAGACATGTACAGCGAGTAGTCGTAGAAACCAAGTCCAGTTAGCATTATTTTCCGAGTCAACTATTAAATAAGCCAGTGGATATATTTCCTTGTTTGCAGTGTATCCGCATGCTAGAAAGAGATGCCCTTTGTACCGGTTGTACAAATGTGTACCATCAATACAATTAACTGGGACGCAGTAGCGGAATCCATCAATTGTCGGCTTGAAAGCCCAGAATGCATACCTGAAATGCATGTATTCAGAACCACGTAGTTCGGAAGGAATACACTCCATCTCGACAATTGTTCCCGGGTTGGACACTTGCAAGTTACACAAGAATTGTGGGAGATCATTGTAGGATTGTTGAAAATTCCCGTACTGCATTTCAATGCATTTTTGTCGGGCGTACCATGCCTTCCTGTATGAAATGTCCACACCGTAATGTTGTCGCACATCTACTTGGATGTGTTTGATTTTGTACTGTGGGTCTGCAACGATCTTTTGGAAAATCAAATCGCTAATTAATGCGCTGCTGCACATTCTGTTTGCCCCTCCTTGGTTGTATTGTACTGTGCAGTCATGTGTATCAAAGAACTTTGTCACCATCCATTGAGAAGATGCCCCATGCAATTTCCTTGCTGATAATGTCCAGCCACAAGAAGGTATTGCATGGAAATTTGGACACGAGATTTTCCAATTGTTTTTTTTCTTGTGATTCGTTATGAAGCGCCGCCTTTGATGAATACTGTATGTTGATACAGCTTTTTTTAGTGTGGGAAAATCTGGTAAAACCATTCCGATGCAGATGACATTTGTTGAGGGGTCATATGACATCATTTCTTGGTCATCCCTCTCTGTAAACCCGTGGCTGAATGTCGTTGTCATTTGGGGTATTGGAGAATGGTAAAAAGGAATAGCAGAATCAGGAACAGTTGTACCTCGACCACCATAATGTTGAGCAGTTTGTCCCATAGTTTGGAAGTCAAACTGCAACTGGTTCATCTATGTCCTCGTCCGTAGTATAGTCACTGCTTGATGGTATTGACTCAGGTGCATAACTCTCATCTGTCTCCGAAGAAGTTTCCACGATCGTTGAAGAAGATGGTGTGGCATGAGAAGTATAACTCCCAAAATATGATGCCATAATAAAATATTGAATCAAATTGTGTTGGTGGGTATTGAAAAATTGGTTGTGGTGTGAAGGGTAAATAGAAAAATTGGATTTTGATCTTATATGCGTGAAAACAGTGGTGAGGTTGTAAAAATAAAATGAACACAGGCAGAGGGTAAATAAAGGGGAAGAAGCAAACGGACTCAGCTAGTCCAACTGTTTAATTTTTTTAATTTTTTTTTGAAGTTAGACTCCCCTAGTCCTACTGTTATTTATTTTGTAAATTTTATTTGAAGTTGGACTCCCCTAGTCCAACTGTTTAAAGTTCCCATCCACTCAAGTAATCGCCGGGTTTTTGTTATTATATTTTAAAGAGAATATTTTATGTTCAGTTAATGATAATAAGCATACATTTGCGCCATTTTTTTAGAGAATATTTTGTTTTAAATAGAATATTTATATTCAATTAATGATAATAAGCAATCATAGTAAAAAAAATTTTTTAACAATACACATTGAAGTAATGATATAAGGATACATAGTAATTTTTTTTTACTTTGAAAGTAGATGTTTAAATTCTTCAATGATTGCATCAACTCTCATAGCATGTTCATGAGTCTCCCATGCTATTTCCTGCTGTATACGCTCAAAAATCTGGGCATTAGAAGTTTTTTTTACATTGTGATTTGTGATACAACTTGAACTGCATTGTCCTCCGACATCGTTTTGTTGATTGTTTATGAATTTGTTGAAAGCTTGAATGGCTTCATCTTTACTAGTATATGATTTATATAAATTGTCGCTAAATCGATGCACTTGAGCTTTTGCATCCTCCCAGTTTTCATATATTCCTGGTTGTCGACCGATAAACACAACATATGTCTTCACCTAATATTCTATATCTTGTTAGGGGCGTACTATTAATATAATGAAGACAAATAAAATTTAAGAGTACGTACCATTGTAGTTTAAATCACACGCTTGATGACTTGGTTGAAGTGGTAAAACTACAAACGATATGCTTATTGATGAGCAAAATAGATGTTTCCTCCTTTCCAATATGGTATTAAGGAAAGACATAAATTGTATGGTCTTCACGAAACTAAGAAATTGATGGTGCTTTAAATAAGGCTATTGTATAATCGGTATGGAGTAGTCCAACTACACTTCAATATTTATTGTTTTAAATATTTAAATATTTATTTTGACATGGTATGATATCACACTGTTTTGGAAGAAGATATGTTTTGGGAGAAGATATAAGGATAAAGTTGTACTTCCCTAGCCAAGTCAAACTTTACAATATAATCTGCAATTTTGTTTCGAAAAAAGTGGTCAAACTTTACAATATAATCTGCAATTTTGTTTCGAAAAAAGTGTTGGGCCAATTATGGTGAAGTAAAGTTGTACTCCCCCAGTCCAACTTTACAATACAATCACAAATTTTTTTCGAAAATAGGCATGCAGAGACATGCACCAACTTTATTGTTTCAAAAATGACATCCACCAAATTTGGTTAATTAAATTTGTACTTTCCTATTCAAGTCACACTTTAAGTCAAACTTTACATTAGAATCTGCAATTTTGTTTCGAAAAAAGTGTTAGACCAATTATGGTTTAGTAAAGTTGTACTCTCCCAGTCCAACTTTACAATACAATCACAAATTTTTTTTGAAAATAGGCATGCACCAACTTTACTGTTTCGAAAATGGCATGCACCAACTTTGGTTAATTAAATTTGTGCTTCCCTATTCAAGTCACACTTTAAGTCAAACTTTACAATAGAATCTGCAATTTTGTTTCGAAAAAAGTGTTGGACCAATTATGGTTTAGTAAAGTTGTACTCCCCCAGTCCAACTTTAAAATACAATCACAAATTTTTTTCGAAAATAGGCATGCACCAACTTTACTGTTTCGAAAATGGCATGCACCAACTTTGGTTAATTAAATTTGTACTTCACTAGTCAAGTCAAACTTTACAATAAAATCAGTAATTTTTTGGTGGAGTAAACTTGTACTCCCACAATCCAACTTTACTTTTAGGATTTTCGAAAAAGTGGTGTGAAAAAGAGGAAAAATAGGTCAGGTCTGAAAAAGAGGAAAAATCGGTTTGATTTCCCCAAAATAGTGAAGTAAAGTTGCACTCCGCCAGTCCAACTTTACTTTTAGGAATTTCGAAAAAGAGGTCTGAAAAGAGGTGTGAAAAAGAGGAAAAAGAGGAAAAAGAAGACAAAGAGGTCAGGTCTGAAAGGAAAAAGCGGTTTGATTTTCCCAAAATAGTGAAGTAAAGTTGCACTCCTCCAGTCCAACTTTATAATAAAATCACCATTTTGTGAAAATGAGATGTGTAGTTCACTCGGCACCAAACATTAAATTAAATTCAAAACATTACATTTGGTGAAAATGTCTGATTTCACATTAATATAGGTTAAGTTAATGTGACCTATAAAACTACTCTAGTCAATTGCTCTATATAATAGAATTGCTTGCATAGTGATAGCTCAAAAAATTGTTGTTAATAAACCAAAGTTGTCAAATAATGGATATGTGGAGAAACTTTAGTTCAAACGAGATAGAAATGAATAATGAGTTGGAGAGTATTGAGTATTTTGTGCATACTATACACAATCGGAAGTATGCTATGTTCACATTAATTAGATAGAGCAGAAGAAGCAATTACATGCTTGTCGTTTCACCATCGTGACTGATGTTGTTGAATGTTTTAGGATTTTCCGTAACATTCCCCACGACAATCCGCAGCAGAAGACGTGCAGACGAATTCGTTCAAACTGTTATTTGTGGTTCAATTGCTTATAATTTTCGCATAGACCGTTGTATGACTTTAAAAATACTTACGCACATACCGTATGATTTATTAAAATGACTAATATTATATTTAATTTTTTTTTTTGTATATTGCAGCTTGTTACACGTACTCTGAACTTGTAGGTCATACCCATCCGTCCATGCGCACGGTTATTTGGTTTGTTGTCGACATTGTCACGTCATTATCATTTGTATTTCCATACTGCATGTTAGACCACTTGATTCAGCACGTAAAGCCTACTGCACTATTATTCCACGGACATTCACACCCACGGGAGTTACCTGTTGAAAATATGCGTTGTTATGAAGGATGTGCAGACTTTCTACACGCACATGAAATTCATCACGACGACCAGATAGTGATGCGTCACATTGGTGCTTTTCAATTTGAATATTTTGTTGTAACAAACAGGGCTCAAGTTGAATTGCCCGATGCCCTTGGTGAGGGCCACGAACGTGATGTGAACGAGAATATGGAAGGCGGTATAATATCTGTACCAGCAAGTTCGAGCATCCATCCGACTCTTTTGACGTATGAGCTAATAGGATGCAGGACATTAATGATTACTAATTTTGAGTTGACGTGTGAACCCGGACTGCTAACAGACTTCATATACTCGACGTACACTGACAATGACTACGTAGATGTTTTACATGGCAACAAAACAATAAGGTTTCATAATGGTCACTACACTCGTGTGTACAAACAATTAATAAATTTGCTTACCACGGCTGAAGCTTCTAAATTCCTATTTTTTAATTCTGATGTGGGAAAAATCAACGTCCTCGCATTCATGTTCTGTGGACCAGAAGCCTATTATCCACATTTGTGGGATTTTGATATTTATGATTATACAGAATGAGTGTATGTAGCACATATCGTAATACATATTTCCTTATGTTTTTTGCTGCATGTAATAAAATATTGTCTCTTGAAAGTGGAATATTGTATGCTTCATTTTATACCGTTTAATATTGTTCCTCAATTTTTTATTATTTTGTATTTTTTCTACTATAAGTTTCTAACTCCCTCCATTTATTTCCTAGAAGTTAGCAGTAGTAGGTTGGCGTAATATAATAAATCACCCCAGATAGGTTGGCGTAATATAATGAATGACCGTAATAAAACCCAATCGGTATTTAAGAATTGAAATCAAGTAAAGTTGCACTTTGGGAGTGCAACTTTATTTTCCACTGACTTTTTTCATTCCACCAACTCTCTATGTACGTATATATCTATATATATCCGAGAATATACTAATTCATTGTCCTTCCATTTCTATTCATCTTTTCCTTCGACCCAACTCTATAAATAATACAAAATAGATCTTTTTGATGATTTTGAAATACTTAGTGAACTCACGCCGCTATGGTGTAAAAGACATTTGTATCAAGCGATCACTATTGCGGGCAAAAAAATTGCGTATGCATGGTTAGATCATACACACTCGGAAATTAGGTATTTAACTTATCCAACTCGTGGATGGCGTCGATATTTACACATGCTAGGCTTAGCAGTACCCGAAACAATGTATTTTTCAAACATAGATGATGCAAAACGCTATGCTACAGTGATATTTCAAACTCTGCGACAAATAAACTATCTGTCACGTATGTATATTAGGTCTATTCAATTGTTGCTGATATTTCTTTTTTATGAAACTTTGTTATTAGTCGGTTTTTTTTTTTTTTTTTGTGACTAGCTTGCGATGGTCATATTCATTTGCCTGATGTCAGTGAATGCACAATTATGTGGTTCACAATCGAAGTAACTATTGACCCACATATGGTAATTACAACAATGTTATTTTAGTAGATATTTATTTGTAAACAAATAATCGTGCGTTTATTTTTTTTAATAGAGAATTCACAATTGTATGCATCGGCATCTAATGCAACATATGACGACAAAAGCAATGTTGTGGCACCACAAGCAATATATACGCGTTTCTGTCGAAGATATGCACTTTACGGAGGGAATTACAAATTTCTTAGTGGAAAATAATTTATACCCTAGAGACATTGTGCTATTTCGACATACCGGTTTCTTCACTTTCGAGACATA